AGTAAAGAGTTTGAATCATCTTGACAAAAGAGGGCCTAAAACCAATTTCTTGAGCACTGCCCACAGATACCACCACTCAAGTCTGTCAAAAGCCTTCATTGCATCTGCTGAGAAGTGCCTGAGAATTATTCACATATATATATATAAGATGGTGTCAATTATATGTAACACATGCCTAACATTATCTGTGGTGAATGTGCAATGTGGATGGGGAGGTGTCCACCCCCTGCTGTGTCCTGTAGTTTTTTACCCAATTTTTACCCAATTTTCCACCCAATTTAGTCATTTCCAATTCCACCCGCTAGTTAGGACTCCCCCAATCACACGATATTACCAGCACTAGAAGGGTGAAGGCTAGCACAGGCTTCCTCCGAGACCTGTGAAACCAGCCACCGCATCTTTTCGAACTGCCGCTCACGCAACGTCATTGGACAGCTGAACGTGCTCGGAGAAAAGCGCCAACCACCAGTTCTGTTATGTCAGCTAACAGACGCCTGCGCTGACTAGCATCGCATTGAGTGATGGGGGGAGAAGGGGGGCCATCCTACCCACCCAGAGAGAGCGAGGCCAGTTGTGCTCTCTTGGACTCCTGGCTACAGATGGCTGTAGCATCACCAGGCATTGGACTCGCAATCTCCTGATGATAGGGTCAACGCTTAGACGGTTGCGCCACTCAGGAGCATTCCATCGTCTGTTTAGTTTTACTGATGTTGAGAGATAGATTCATGTTTTGGTGCCAGCTGGTTAGTGACCTCCTCTCTGTAGGTCATCTGGTCATTGTCCGTGATGAGGCCCAGGAGGGTAGTGTCATCCACAAGCTTTACAATAATATTGTAGCTGTGCTTGGCAGCATAGTCATAAGCACAATCGCAAGTGAACAGGAAGTACAGGAGGTTACTGAGCCCACAGAACTGTGGTGCACCTGAGTTGAGGACCAGTGGGGAGGAGGTGTGTTGGCTGATTCTCACTATCTGGGGCCTGCCCATCAGGAAGTTCAATACTCACCTGCAGAAGTGGTCTCCAGTCCAAGATCAATGAGCTTAGAGATGAGTTTTGAGTGAATTATGATACTGAATGCTGAGCTGTAATAATGAAGAGGATTCTCACACGTGTATTCCCTTTGTCCAGGAGGTTAAGTGCATTGTGTGTCTCCAAGGCAATAGCACCATCCATGGCCTTGTTTGATCTGTATGCAAACAAAAGAGGGTCAAAAGTTTCAAGAAGGTGGGGGGGGGCATAGATGTGGGTTTTAAGTGGTTGCTTGAAGCACTTTATGATGACTTTTATCAGTGCGACAGGGCGATAATCATTTAAACTGGTTTCTTCAGGACAGGAACAATGAGGGATGCCTGGAAAGGGGTGGGGACCATGGAGTGACTTAGGAAGAGGTTGACGAGGTTGGTGAACACCTCTGCCAGGTGATCAGCGCACACCCTGAGAGCATGGCCTGGGATACTATCCTGTCTCGGAGCTTTGCAGGGTTGACCCTTCTGAAGGACCATTTCATGTCAACGGTTTCTAGGGTCAATGCGGCAGCATCTCCGGGACACGTGGTGGGTGTTGTGATGTCTGCATCGAACTGATCTTAAAAGGTGTTGAGCTTCACTAAGAGTGATGCAGTAGGCTGAAGAATATCTGTTTTTTTTTTTTCTTTGTAGTCTGTGATGCAGTGTAATCCACTCCACATGCATCTGGGGTCAGTGTTGTAATAGTTGGGCTCCACTCTTTTCCTGTAAGCATTCTTGGTATCCCTGATGGACTTCCAGAGGACAAATCTGGCTGTATTGTAGGTGTTGAGGTCCCCTGAGTTGAAGGTGGTCGTCCATGCTTTGAGTTTAGCACAGATCTCTTGGCTGACCTAGTATTTCTTATTCTAGATTTTTTTAGCCTGTGCAGGATGTAAACAGCTGTTAAAAGGACTGAGCTCAACTGTCTGGGAAGGTAAAATGGTCAAACATTGATGGTCAGCAGATCCAGCACTGGTAAGCAGTGCACAAAGAGTTAACCATAAAGCACACACCCTCTCCTCTTGATTGAGTCCTGCATTCTGTTCTGTCCTGTCAGTAGACACCCTTCGGAGTGACGGTACAGTTGGGCATGCTAGACTCCAGCCACGTCTTGATGAACATCAGAACACAGGATTTGCTAATGTCCTGTTGGTGCTTAATCCATGCATGCAGCTCATGTAGCTTGTTGTCCAGTGACTAAACGTTAGCAAGCAGAAAGCGGGGCCGAGGAGGTCTGTCGGGTTCTGCACAAAGCTCCAGCATGCTTCCTTCTCCTAGTTTTTTTTTCCAACAATGTGCACATGTTGCCCACAGTGTCAAATGTCAGCTTAAATCCAGCTGGCTGATGACTGTAGCTCGAAAAGTATTTGGATACTGATATTATTTGTTTATTTATTAATTTTGTTTACTCATATTATTTATTTATATTTGGATATTCATACTAAATGTTTGTGCAAAAAAAGCCAGTAATAAAAAGTAAATTCACATAAGTTTGTTGATATGTTTCATAGCAAAAATATAAGGATCTAATCTTACCACAACAATTTCAGTCTAAATATGCAGTAGTTTTATAGACTGATCTAACAGAGTTAGAGAACATTCATTTTCTTAAATGATTTAGTAACTAGATAAGTCATATACACATATATTCAGATAAACATAGACTTATCTTCATCTAAATATTACTTATTCACATTTGACATATTTGGAACTTTCCAAGTATGTGACATGAATACTGTGTAATAGAAGTTTAGAAGGTAAAGAGCACAAACTAATGACAAACACTTGCAATGTGTTTCTAAACAGAGTTTGTTACATTTCAGACACAGTACTGAGTCCTCTATCTTGTTACTCATGTCTCTTGCAGTTGCTTTATGAATGAGAGAATTGAGGAAAAACATATTACAGCTGGTCAGGTCAGCTAGAGTTAGGGTACCGTAATTTCAATATTTCTATATCATCTACTACACAGACAGTGTTACTGTAGCTGTAATGTATGTCAGTCTCAGCCTCAAATGGAGTGATAGACAGAAGTCTACACAATATCTTGTGGTGTAGGTTAATGTACACCAATCACTTTACATTAAAAAGTCTTTTATTTTTTTCAAACCCATATCTGAATCTGTGCTAAACACCATTAGATGTGTCATACCATTACTTGCAGAAACTATTTAGCTTAGTATGATATGCCAGATGGTGGAACTTCACAGTGAAGATGTTTAAACTTTTCTTTCCCACACTGGGAGCAACCAACTGTATTAGATGTGGGGGAGGGGGCTGCCAAGTTATTTTCATGTATATTACATATATATATATATATATATATATATATATATATATATATATACATACATACATACATATAGTATATATTAATACATATTTCTGGTATACCATTTGTAATGTCAGTAACACCAATATTTATGTCATTTCTATTGCAATATAATTATATTTTTAAAATTACTTTTTAATAATGTGTGAATTTATCAATATCAGTAATAATAGTGCATTCCATTCCATGTTCTCTGTTTTCTCATTTTAGAAGTCAGGCTGGTTGATGGTTCTCGTTGCTCTGGGAGAGTGGAGGTGCTTCATGGAGAGACCTGGACCACAGTGTGTGATGCTGACTTTGACCAGCAGGATGCAGAGGTTATGTGTCGAGAGCTGGGCTGTGGGCTTCCTGTGGAGTTGCTGGGAGCAGCTGCTTTTGGCAGAGGGGAGGGTCAGGTGTGGTCAGATGAGCTTCAATGTAGAGGAAATGAATCTCAGATTCGCTTCTGTCCAACATCATCTTCACTCAAACACAACTGCACCCATGAGAATGATGTGGGTCTGGTGTGTGCTGGTGAGCACTGAATTTACCTTAATAAACATCTTAATTTCATCTTCCCTGTGTGGTTAAATCTAACATTTTACTCCCTGAGGTATTTGATATCTTTCCACTCAAAAAGATTTTTTATATCAGGTTTTGATTTATAATAATGTTCTGAAGAGAATTTTGAGGAAATTTTAAATTTAATTCGTATTTTCTCTTCTAAAGGGGAAAATCTGTTCTTAACCAAGCATGCTTGTGACCTCATTCATCCTTTGTAAATTTCAACTGAATCACTGAATTTGGTAACTTTTTAGGCTCAGGTGATCCATCTAACTAGATTATTATGATTATTATTATTATTATTATTATTATTATTATTATTATTATTATTATTATTGTTCATAATAACTATTTAATCAATAGACAATACTGATGTTTTATTTTTATTCACCTTTTGTCAGAGTCGTTAACATATAAATTGACAGAGGCCTAATAGAACAATATTTGAAAAATGTAAAGACTAGAAATAGTTTGACATGAAAATGAGACAGAGATCTATAAAAGCAGATAAGATCTTCTTCAAATATAATGTAGCCTTACAGTAAATGGATATTAATAGTAAGAGAGGGAAGCATTTCCACTGTATTTTTCAAATACATATCATTTGGTAGCTAAAATGTTTGACATCTGGCTTATTAAATGTAATGTTGAACAAGCAGGAAATGAAGCAGGATGCATATGTGTGTTTATCATAATCTACTGAAAATAACAGAAGAAAAATGCAGGAAAAAGAGAATCTAAGAAAACAACAAAGAGTGAAACAAAACTAAAGAACCAAAGTAAGGAAACTTGAAAAATAATAAAACAAAGAAAGAACAAGATAAAAATATTTATTAATTATTAAAAATAAGCACAAGAATAAATAAAAATGCAACAAAGCTACATCTTGAAAACAACAAACAATGCCAAGCAAACACAAGACAAAAACAAGGGTTATACATACTGGGAAATACTAACAAGAAACACATGATCGTGATTACTGGGTTACACAGAAGAAACAGGTGAGCGGACAGAGTTAAGTAGGGAGCATGAACCCGAAACATACAAAGGCACATGGCAAAAGCATGAAGGTTAACAAGAAGGGAAAACAGACAAAGACAAGAACATGGCAAGACAGGATGGTGGAGCAATGCAGCACCGGGTCTCAGAGCACTTCTCAGTTCTCCGGAGCAATGGGACCAATAGCTACTTTGCAGGTGCTCTCTGGAACACTGGGTGGCACTGTGGGGCCAGAAACAGAGTCCAGCAAGTCAGGGAACTCAGAGTCTGGCAGGTCAGAGGCCTCAGAGGCCAGCAAGTCAGGGAAGGCTGCACATGGAGCCGACTGGAGCTGTCTTCGGGTGCAGGTGGAGAAGCGTTGTCAATAAAAATAAAACATTTCTTGTTTCAAAGCAATAGTAACATCAATAATTTAACAGTCATAAACTATATTGGCCCTTTTAACACATATTCTTCAAAAATGTTCTGTATTATTCTCTACTGTACATGTATTGGTAACATTTTACACTCTTGTGCAAAAAACATAGGCCAAGCCCAAAATGGCAAAATACTAAGATATAATGGTCTTAACAACAAATCATTAAACAAACAGATAAAGTAAGTTATTATGGTGTAGCTTTTCCCTTTGATTTCTTTAGAAGTGGGTAAATTGGAACAGTAAGAACTAAGCACTAATGAACAATTTATTTACGTCTATAATAATATCTAATTAAATATTATATAATACATTGTAACATTTAAATCAATGGTGCTAAATCATTTGCAAAAAATAGGACAAATATTAGAATTAAACCTCTTAGCTGTTAACTACTAAAGTCTCATGTTAACATTCAGTAATGGTTTAAATATTATTTGAGATAACAACTGAATCTCTTGATAAAAGTGGCAGGCTGTCAGATACCTGTATGATTCAATGGTTGCCAAAATTGCTCCTGGAATTTTCCTGCTCCGTATGTTTAGGTGATATACTGTTTCAAATGTTCAGGGCTGGATTGTATGTTTTTTTCAAGCGATGCCATGGAAACCCACTCTTGGTTGTCTGGTTGTTTAGCATTCTTGCAAAGCGATCATTAAACGACAAAAGTAGTTTAAGCTAACAGCTCCAAAATGAAACACAGATTTAAATGTTCAGATTTGAATATTTATTCTCTAAATTTATGTCATTGATACCTGAGTGAGCCAGAATGAACCTGTGTGGTTGTGTGTCAAATTGTTTAGACTTTCTCACTAAGCTAACACTAGCTTTCAGGGCTAATGTTTAATGGGGCGGCCACTGGACCACTCTAATGTTCAACCACATTGGCATTGCCGTGGGATGTAAGGACTGATGTAAAAAGTTCTCTTTCTCCCTTTTATCTCACCCTTATCTGCCCAGCTGACACTGGTTTGTCATTGACAGCTTGAGTTCAAAACGCTTACCATGGGTAAAGTCAGCCCTTAATGTAAAACACTAGAGTCATTTACAGATGACAACATAACAGGGAGAAAACGTTTTTTCTTTCTGTTGTACAGCCGGTGTGCGGCTAGTAGATGGAGACAGTCGCTGTGCTGGGAGAGTGGAGGTTCTTTATAGAGGACGGTGGGGAACGGTGTGTGATGATAACTGGGATATGAGAGCTGCTGCAGTGGTGTGTAGAGAGCTGGACTGTGGAGAGGCTATAGATGCACTGAGTGATGCTCACTTTGGTCCAGGATCAGGACCAATCTGGATGGTTAATGTGGACTGTAGTGGATCAGAGTCAACACTGAAGAACTGTAAATCACCAGGATGGGGTAAACATAACTGTGATCATTCTAAAGATGCTGGAGTCATCTGTTCAGGTATGCTGCTATATTTTCATATATTTTTAATGGTGTGGGAGTTGTGGCTAAATTATTGCTATTAACTAAGGTAAAAATAATTTGTAATAAAAGGGAAACAAATCCAGCAGGGCAAAATAGTATTGAATGTATATATATTTTATATATATATATATATATATATATATATATATATATATATATATATATATATATATATATATAAAATTTGATTACTCACATTTGGTGGAATTCTGTCTTAGCTGTTAGAACTTCTGTGATACAAAATATAAACAAAAACATTTACAAAGTTGAATAATAATATAAAAAGGTTTAAAGGAAAGATATCAAAGTTTAGAAAAAGACAACAGTATGCAAAGTGATATAAGATAATATGCAAGATAATATGAGAAATTGAGGAGATAAAGTCAAATATGCAGTACTATTAAGTTGCCTGAATGAAAACCAAGAATAGGAATAATTCTCACTACATATAAGATCACAAACAGCAATGATAAAACGTGTCTATCTGGAATTTACACCAAATTAGATTCTTGAGAGTTTACAGCATCTCGAGACTTGCCACCCTTCCAATATTGCAAGAGAAGCAGAAAGAAGCTTATATTAACACTCAAAAGTGTGTCCTTGTGTTCAGAGACTTTGCCCCAGCTGGTATATTGCTTTAAAAAGGCTCCACTTCGGGTATCAAAAAGGGCAGAAAGAGCTGCCAGTCCAGAAGTTTGCATACGTTGCCTCATCTTCTGATGGGTAAGAACTGCACTAAGTTCAAATTGGGGTCAGCTGAAAGGTCGGAAGCGACTCCAATGACTAGAAGTCAGAAAGACCTCCAATTCGCAACTTCAAAGAAAGCTTGAGGTGCTGTCACTATTAAGAGGATTAGGTGTGGGACACTCCTTGTCACACTTCTTCCACGTGGGAGAGTCTGGGGTCATCCTCCAGTCTTTACTGTGACCCTTAAGGTTTCTTTGTGATACTGGAAAAAAAACCCAAAAAAAACACATTATGTCCATATCATGCAGCTGGTGTGTCCCACAACTTTGAAGATCATTCCAATGTCTCTGGCATGATTTTACCTTTAAATTAAGACAAAAGATGGCATGTTTTGTATATTACACACACACTTAAGGGAAAAAATAAATTACACATCCCTACAACATCATTCCTTTTCACATTACATGATATGTCACATGATGCTATGAATATCCTTTAAAACGTTCGATTCGGTGCTGCTAATGGGAAATTACCTTTTTGTTAAAATGAGACACTCATGCTTTTTTCCCATTGAACTCTTTATATCCATTGAATTGCTGTGTCCTGTCGCACTTGTCCTGTCTCCATCTTGAAACTATGAATACTCTGACTCTGTTCTCTCTTAATATTTCAGGAGTCAGGCTGGTTGGTGGTTCTCGCTGCTCTGGGAGAGTGGAGGTGCTTCATGGAGAGACCTGGTCCACAGTGTGTGATGCTGACTTTGACCAGCAGGATGCAGAGGTTGTGTGTCGAGAGCTGGGCTGTGGGCTTCCTGTGGAGGTGCTGGGGGCAGCTGCTTTTGGCAGAGGGGAGGGTCAGGTGTGGTCAGAGGAGCTTCAATGTAGGGGAAATGAATCTCAGATTTACTTTTGTCCAACATCATCTTCACTTAAACACAACTACACTCATGATAATGATGTGGGGCTGGTGTGTGCTGGTAAGAAATATATTTTTCATAGTTGCTCTTGTATTCCTCTAACTGACCCCATGTTTGAAATTCATTTAGGATATTAATTTTCTGTCTGCAGCTCTCTGGTTGTGCATGAATATAGCATCTCTCTGCACCTCTCTGCCTCTTTTTATGTCACTCTCATTTGTCTCTTGTGTATAGGCAGCGTGCGGCTGGTGGATGGTGGCAGTCGCTGTGCTGGGAGAGTGGAGGTTCTTCATAGAGGACAGTGGGGAACAGTGTGTGATGATGGCTGGGATATGAGAGATGCTGCAGTGGTGTGTAGAGAGCTGCGCTGTGGAGAGGCTGTAGATGTACTGAGTGATGCTCACTTTGGACCAGGATCAGGAAAAATTTGGATGGTTGATGTGGACTGTAGTGGGTCAGAGTCTACACTGAAGAACTGCCACTCAACACTTTGGGCTAAACATGCGTGTAATCACTCTAATGATGCTGGAGTTTTCTGCTCAGGTAAGTTACTCTAAATCACAATTACTTAATACAAAAACCAGTCAGTCACACAGTTATAATGAACATTAATTTACCCCTTTTGCGCGTCTCTGAATTTATAAATTATTTTTAAAATCCTATACGTGAATATTTGTAAATATACTAACAAACTTGTAAGGTGTAATGGAAACACCAAAGTAAGTAGACACCAGAAGACCTTTAATGCAGCTTGGCATCTCTGAAACTGTACTGGAGAGATGGACCACCATTCTTTCAAAAGATATGTACCTCGGTTTGTGTTTTGATGATGGAGGGGAGCCTGTTTAACACAGTCTGAAATCTCCCACAGGTGTTCAGATTTAGGTGACTATGCCATTAAGCCATTTAGTGAACCCTAATGCCTTGTGGATGGGAGCATTTTCATCCTGGTGGAGACCACTGCCATCAGGATTAAAATGTTTCTTCATAGGATAAAGGTGATTAGCTTAGTATTGACTTGCAGTGACCCGTCTCTCTGTGGGGACAACTGGACTCAAAGCATTCCAGCAAAATGTTTGAGTGTCTAAAACACTCTAAATTGGTCTAAAAACACATCTTCAACAGGTGGTGCAATCATGTTTGGGTATAAAAGGACCATACATGAAAGGCAGAGTTCTTAATGGCAGAGGATGGGTCAAGGCCCACCCCTTCGCCCAAAAATGTGTTAACAGTTTTAGAAAAGGAAAAGCACCATCCCTTTTGTTACCAATACAAAGTTCCAAAGCCTGTGTCTGTCATGGTATGGCGGTGTATTAGTGTGTCTGTGAATCACAATCAGAATCACTTTATTTCACCAAGTAACTTATGCATACATGCATGTGCAGCTGAGACATATAAATCAATGACCAACAGCTGTTTTAATCAATAAAATGAAAAAATCTTCAACCATGTGTCATGATAGGAGTAATTTAACCTATTTTTGCACTCGTTAAAAAGGGGTCAAAGAAAAAACAAAGTTTAGTTCAGTCTCAGTTCTTGGCCGTAAGGTCGGCTATGGTCAGGGAGTCAGCTCGCCCAGAAGGTATAAAATACCACCCACACAAAGGCTAGCTTGCAATAGATGGCTTATTTATTGATTAATTTTTAAAAACAGGGTAAATGATGCATTAAATGATATTGATACCAAATGGGGCACAGATATGAGGGAGTCACCTGATCTGAATTTACTAAAAGGAACAAAAACCCTGCAGAAAACTAAACAGGCACCAAACTGAGCATATGTGAGAAGTGCTTTGCCTTAATTTCTCAGTGAGTTGTCAGTTGGAAACACTGTCCTTGGTGTGGAGTATCTGCTCGTTTGGTACTTCAGGCAGTTACTTCTACCCTTTGCGCAGTGAAATATGGACTATAAAAAATGTGAGATAACACGACACAACTGTGGTGGTCAAAAGGGTGGAAGGACACTCTCCTTTTAGCTGCCTCTGAAAGAAGCTGCAGTAGACATGGTTTCAGCAGATTCTGAGAGGAGCATTTTAGACTCACTCTGCTCCACAGGCAAACTTCTCTGAAGAGTGGACACCAGTTTGTTTCCACTCCCTCTCTCTCACTGTCCAGACAGAAGGTTCTGCACCTGAATTACCTCTGGCCAAACAATAAAAATTCTTAACTCTATCAACTTGCTAGTAAGCAAAAATATGATCTGGAAAAGAAACACTCAGTCTCTTAACTTCTTGACTTTCTCTGAAGTTGTCTTGACTTTTTCCAAACTTCTTTTTGTACTCTTCCTTCTGAACCAAGTAAAACTCTGGATTCTAAGTTGAAATCTACCTGAAGCCACTCTTTTCGGTGGAGACAGGACAGGGATGCAGAGGTTCTCGTGCATCATGTTAATGAATATTTAATTTTTTTGTTTAACCACGTCAAGTTGAACAAGTTTTGTCAGTGACACACAGTCTCTCCTTAATTCACCACAAAGTACTCAAGCAAAATAGATAAAAACAGTAGTGCAAAGACAATAGACAAAAGCACAAAGACAGTAGGTGCATACACAGTGTATACAGATATGGGCAGTAAATGTGGAGTCAGAAGGCAGAATTTAAATCACCCACTATAGTTATAATACTATAATAAATAAATTATAATAAATATGTAAACTTGTGCAGTTTACAGCTTAGGTGTTTATAGTGAACTACGGAACATAAATGGTCATAAAGATCGGTGTGGTGTCAGTTTTTAATCCTTTGATGGTCTGGTATGCTAGATTCACTGAAGACTCTCTGAAGAACAAGAGGTCAGTACTTGGAGTGTAGAGGCTCTTACTGAGCACAGGGGAAGATCTCTGTTGTTTGAGCAGCAACAACTTGACTGTTGCCCATCTCTTTGGATTTTTAAACTCTTTTAAAACTAAGCTATTTATCTGCTCTGGGCTTAGAGGCTCATGTTTAATTTTTAGCTTTCCCATCTGTCTTTGACTTTGATTCTTTGATATTACTGGAGCTGGTTTGATAAAAGTCAGCTTAATCAGAGCTGTCTTCACTGTCACTGTAAAAAGACTCAAAGAGGAAGACTGCTCCTCTGTTCCACACCTGAAATCTGAAAGGGTGGGGTACAATCCTTTCTATTAGCCTGGTTCAGCAAGTAATTTTTCTCTAGCTTTCTAAAGCAAGTCAGCTTCAGCTTGGAGGACTGATAAGAGGCACATTTGTAACGGAGCATTACTTTGTTGATTAAATTATGTTTCATAAAGAATTTCTTCAAACACAATTTATTTAACATTTGCTTTAAGTCACCTTCAAATTAGCACTCAGACTAGTCATGTGATCAACCTAAGAAGAAAAAGAAAATTAAACAGGTGAAAGATTAAATTTCTCAT